TTCTTTTACAAAATTTGAGTACCCACCCTGCATAATATTAAAATGACAACTTAGTTGGTATTAATTCATCGTGATTCGTTCGAGCCGCGAAGTAAAGGTCCGTCACAGATCCGGCAGTCATTACTCAATCTTAATATTCTTATTACTTCGAACACTGTTTTGTCTCCGGTGTTTCGGTGACATCAGGAGACCCTCGTCGATTAACGGGGCACGGGGCGATAGCCTAATACTTTTGTCCACTGCTGATAAATCTTCCGCAGCACCAAGTTACGCCATCGAATCGAATCCAATAACGACTTTCCTCTTCAACTCCGGAGAAGTCGAGCAATTAATAGCGGTCCTTTATCCTCTCGAATCGTCCCGATGAGAAACTTTCTCCAGGACCGTCGCTTTCACATCTATTGGTACTGCCGGTTAGCGTGTTACATTTAATAACATAATACGGCGAGCCACGAGAATTCTTTCAGTTACAAAAGGTTCAGTTCGAATAAACTGAATTGCTCCTGAAGACACAACGGAGAGATTCCTTCGATAGTACTTTAGAGATCCACATTCATTGTACGCGCTTTTTGGCATTGTTGACGTTTCTACTCAACTTAACGATCTTCATTTTTCACTCGCGTTTGCTTGACACATATCGCATTGCTCGTACAATATTACTAACATTTGTTACTAACTATTATTTATTTGTTGGTTAATTGTTTGTAATTGTACAGCTATAAAGTATCTTACAAGGACGTAAAAAAGAAATAATTTCATGTCTTTAAAATTGATGATGAAAATTAAATAGAGCAGGTATTAGATCGTCTATTGTAAGATCAAATTGCATTTCTTGTAACGAAATTAGAAGAAAAACAATTGATATTGCTGAAGAAAGATTATAATTATTATGCAATTATTATCACATAATATGGAAAATTATTCATAAAAAGAGTGATGATCAACAGCAGTAGTTAACAGCAGTTTAATTGACTACCAAATTATTGTTAATTTAATATTAATGAAATGAATATTATTATGCTCTTATTTTAATAAAATATTATTTGTCTCATTATAATATTGTTGAATCAATAAAATTATTTTCAATTAGACTGCTATTAGCTAGTGCTGTTACTCCAACATCATTCTTTTTCCATGTTGGATATATGCCAATGTTAATGTATATATTCACCTTTGACGGAGGTAACCAGGGTTAAGTGTTGAGCATTCATTTCGGCGAGTCGACGAATCACGTCGATCTGTTCCAATGAGAGTTGAACTGCATTTAACTGAGCGGCACCGCAAGGAACGTAGGCGGACCAAAACTGTAAAAAAAAGCGTATTACATATTATTAGAGATTTCTATAGAAATCTAACATTTCTGTGAAATGTAATTTAAAAAAATATTCTAACAAAACATTTACGGAATAAGTATTTTGAATTGAAAAATTTTAATTTCTTATCTACATTTTATTTCATTTTTACAAAATCAATTGATTGAAAATATCTTTCGGAAGAAAAGTGAAAGAAAGAGAGGGAAATAATAATTAAGGAAAGCTTAAGTTTAGTTTTAATATAAAATTGTATCAAATGTCATCGTGGAGAAAGATATTTTATAAACTTATTTAGGAAAAGACTCTTCTGTTTTTCGAGAAAGAGGAAATCTGTTTATGTGAAATGGTGCATTTTCGTGTTGGAGATTTCACTCTCGAATACATTTCTAGGAGCTACAATAAAGCACCGTGGAGGATCTTAAATGAAACATTATTAATGGTACGTCTCGTGTATTTTTTCGCGTGTTCTGCTATCGCGTGACTTCGTATTATAGTGTCGTAATACAGTCACGCCCAATTGCTCACAATGCTTTACGATTGTCGGCGCGATAAACGTTTCATTAACTCTTTACGTTAAAGGATCCGGGTTTTATTTCCACGCCAACCAATTGTTTTATCGCGAGAAAGGCTTATTTAAGGCTTCTTACTGATAACAGAAATTTCACGTTATTTTCCACATTACATTACTTCGCGAATTATTGATAATTTCATTTGTACTATTTACCTAATTAATTTGCGTTATTGAAAATGACATATATTTTGCTCAAAGAAGTAAATAATCTCGGTGTCTACAGGATCAATTATAATTAAGAGAATTGATATAATTGTTAATATTTATATAATTGTGTCGAAAGCAGTCTTTTATATTTTTAAATTTTTTATTTATAATATGTATATTATAAAGAAAAAGAAATGTACCAAAAGTTTGACATTCTAGGTCGAATTGATCGAAGAAAAAATAAGTGAATAGAATGCTGAAATTAATATACTATTTTGAATACTATTGTGAGATTTTCGATTTTTCTTCGATAAAAACGTAACGCAAGTCGTGTTTTTAAAATTACGTAGATTTTCAATCTCTGCTCGTACCAAGCGAAATAATTATATCTAAATTTCGCACGCTTATCTGATTTACGAGCGAGCGCTCGGCGCTCAGAGTTAAATGTTCGCGCAGTTTCGACGAACGTCGAATTCCTCGGATTGGTTGAGCATCCGATATGCGTCGTCGAGTAATCGAACGTCAATATCGGGTGGTGGAGACACACGGCGCGCAACTATGTGCTGCGGGAGTGCCGGCATTCGGTCCGAATTTCACCGCGCTCTCTCGTAGAGGCTTTGAGAGAGCTAGCGTTACCAATTACTCGGCGGTCTAATTAGCACTGAGTTACCGCGCGCTGGCGTAAATATTGAATTTCAGTTTCCGGTCTAAGTTCTAGCCTAACGCGATTGGCATCCTCGATTCTCGCGCTGCGCCGGTCCTCTTCTCCGACGTCAATGTTATTATACTAATCGCATGACGCGACATGGGTGGGCGGGATGCGCCGCGCGCGATGGGGGATGAAAGAAAGGCGACACGGGGAGGAGAGACGCGCGGGGTGGCTGCGGGGAAGATAAGCGCGGGGAGAGACGCGGCGCGACGCGACGACGAATGGTCACGGAAGTCTCAACTCCGCGCAACTCAAACGAATTCTGTTTCGACAGGGGAAAACGGGGCGGTCGCCGTCGTCTCGGCGTTTCACCAACGACCTTTCGACGCTTCTTGCATCCGTGCAGTCGCCGGTAGTATGTACATAAACGTATATACGTTCCACGTTACACTTCCGCTTGACGTTATACGAGAAGAGAATAAGGACGCATTTATATTTCGATTCTCGCTGTTGTTCTTCGAAAACGGCGATATTTCATATCTCGAAGATGCTGTACGCACGCGCGGAGGGTGACATTTATTCTTCTTATACAATTAGCGAATCGCGAGAGATCGTGGACAATCGTCAGCAAGCACTCGACGTTCGCATAGGATCCGCGGGGGCCTAAACGCGTATGATTTATCGCTCTCGGCGGGCTTTATACGGGCTTACACGCGCGAGAATTCAAATAATTTATAGTATTTTGCGCGTAATTTACACGGGAGTGCGGATGCGCGTGACACGCGTGTAGACATCTTTCCGGTACATCGCGCGGCAGATGCGCGCGATAGAGGGTTATTCGTCACGGGCGAAATAGACGCCGCCGCGCGCCGCGGCGGGGAAACGCTAATAATAATCTGACGCCGCTAACTGATGGAGTTTAGCCGGTTGCGAAACACACGGCGAGGCATACACAGGGCGGATCTGACGTTTCCCTATCTTCCGGACGACCTCCCCCCCTCCTTCCCCCCGCCACCGCCGCGGCAGTCCGTTGCGGACGATCGCATGGTGAATCGCAGTTAATAATGATATCGCGAGGGGAAGAGAGGAGGGGGTGGGGAAGGGGTACGGCAGATAAAGCCGTCCGACCGGAAAGCTACGTGCCTTCTTGCAGAAGGAAAGCAGATAAGCACTGACGAGGCCGGGGGGGGGGGAGGAGGTTCAAAACACGCGCGGCTGCCAACGGAATATCCGCTCGATAGCGGCGCAACGTTTCGAGAAATCCGGGACGGAAACGTATTTATCGAAGAAAACGTATCTCGGGAGCGTCAGCGTGAACTCTGGATGAAGGATAAACAATCCGCCGCGGTGCGGATTAAATAGAAGACGTTTCGCCGCGTTCACTTCGCGGAAACGGCGTCAAATCTTACGGGCGTAATTGTGCTAATAAACACACCGAGGAGACGCGCGAATTTACGGGCGTAAAGTGGGAAGAGAGCATAACGGATACATGTGCATCCTCAGAGACATTTGTGGCGCGTCGTGTACTCTATAACCGTATTTGCATGTAACATAAAGAGTCAGCTGAGCGTCACGCCATTTACGCGAAAACATCTTTGTTCTGAATAAATGAAATATTTAGAAAGGCGCGCATTTTTTTTCTAGATTTTCGTCTGCTAGCGCTTAAAGTCCCTTTGATTAAACATTCATCTACATGGAGTTGCTATACTTCACACGCCGCTAAGTTAAATCTGCTAGCATGGATTAAACTGAGTTTCTTATCTTTGTCGAACACTGTTACATTTAAAGCGCGTTTGTGTAGCACGCTGTCAACGCGTGCTGTCGCGTCATGCTGTTCTTGTTTTACCTGTCTAATGAATGCTGAAGATAGAATAGCGCTGACGCGATTAGCGCTGACAGCGTGCTACCCGAACGCGCGCCTCTGGGCAGACTTGTTTCTGAGACCACTTTTATTCTCAGTTTTTGTTTCTGCTCTGCTTCTTAGGAGTTGTATCAGTTTTATTTTCTTTATTTTTTTGATCATTTTCCGATTTCTTGTAAAACATCAATAAAATATTTTTTTAAGTTGCTCCACGTGCAAGAAGACATTCCGCCAGTAATATTGTGTCAAAATCAGGCAATGTTATCGAAATGTTCAGATAACATTACCTGATTTTGACACATATTACCGTTTACATTTACACGACCGATTACAGTTGTTATATCCTTTTTCACACAACTACATTTCCGTGGCGATCGTGGCGCGAGAGTTCGCGTTTGCGCTTTCTATGCCCAGGTTCGAATCCTGCAGAACAATATAAACCTAAATCGGTTTTAATCGATTTGGAAGCAATCGCCACCTCTCGGAAGACAAATCCCACCGAGAGTAACTCTGCCCAGGAAAGACTCAGCTCTTTCCGATCTTGCACCTAACTCGTGCAACGTCACCAAATCCTCTGCGAATGTGTGTGAATTACGAATGAAACGGCGCCGCAAATGCGTTCCTCTCTGCTTCGCAATACTTGCATAGATCCTATAAATTTTAATAAATTAATCCATATCGGATCTGTGTGACGTACCTACTTAAAAGGCCGTTCAAAAACGAAAAACATTCCACTTTCAGATAACATTATTATCGTTAGATGAAATGAAGTGTGCCAATAAGAGCCAAACGCAGTAGTTAAAGCGTAAGAAAATTTCTTTATTAGTAAAAAAAAAAGAGAAATCGCTACTGTTTCGACACTTTAGTTTGGGTTCTCTTTTTAGGACTAAACTAAAGGGTCGAAACGTTTGCGTTTTCTCTTTTTTACTAATAAAGAAATTTTCTTACGCTTTAACTACTGCGTTTGGCTTTTATTGGCACACTTCATTTCATCTGATTTGTTATCTCAGAACCTTTAGAATTAAATTAATTATTATTGTTATATTTACAAGTCAGATTGATTACATCTATCGTGTAAATGCAACGACAAATAATACATTGTCAAATGTGGAATGTTTTTTTGTTGTACGAGGAGCAACTTAAAAAAAAATCTTTTATTGATGTTTTACAGAAGTCGGAAAATAATCAACAAAAAATAATGAAAATAAAGTAGAACTGATACAACTCCTAAGAAAATAAAGCAGAAGCAAATTTACTGCGGAAAAAAAACTGTCTTTATTTGGCTTAAATCTGCTTAAATCTGCTGAAACTCGCCAAATGCATGCGCGCTACCTGCCTCTCACACGCACTTCACGTAGAGTAAAATCATAATACATATTCTCTTTGCGAGGATGACGTCGTCGCGAACGCGAAGGGCGAAAGGGCTCTCGAGAACAAAGACACTTTCGATGTGTTTTGCGTGCGGGCGTACTCACGACTCGCAACAAGAGAGTTCTCTCTCGTTTCGTATTCCTTCCGAAATAACCCTTTCCCGACGACGAAAATCATTTTCTTGTGCCGCGAAACGGTCCGCTCCGACGAGCGAGCGTGTTGCTTCCGCATTTCGCGCCGGAATAAAGCTCGTAGAAACAGAGAGAGAGAGAGAAAGAGAGAGAAAGATGGTAAGGGTGTAATTCGAGGTAAACAACGACGAGGATGGGGTTGCGTCGGTCCAGCGCGGCCGACTTCCGCGGATAAAGCTTTCGTCTCGCTGATTGTCTTTT